TGGAAAAGCTGTTGCAAACAGCTTGGGTGGAGCTACCAATTGGATGAGGTGGATTCTGGGAGAATCACGGGTTGGAGCAAACTATGCGGGGCAAGCTGATGAAAACTCATATGGCTGCCAGTCAGCCCTGCGACAGGCATAGCACAGGAACAATGACCCCTGCCAACACCCCCCGTCTGGGAGAAAGCTTCCCTTGAGTTCCTGTCCTGATGCCAGACAATCCAGTTCCTTCCCATATGTGTTTGTGTCCTCCAGAGCCACTGCCCAGCGCTAGAGCTCAGAGGAAGTGAGACCACGTAAGTTTCTGCTCAGAAACTTTAAGAGGGATTCTTGGGATTTCAACAGCCTCTGTGTCACTCAGCCATAAACCCCACTGGCTTTTATAGTCCGTAGTTACAGGGACTTCTCTTCCCAGCTCTGGGACCCTGGGCTGGGGGGTCTGGTGTGGACTGGGGTCCCTTGCTTCTCATGGGAGGCCTCCACAGACACTATCTCCCTCCCAATTTAAAAAAACGGCACATATAGGTGTCAGACCAGCCATTCTGCGCCTCTGCCCCTTTGCCAGTCTCAATGTGCTTTCTTCTTTGTTTCCCTACTTGTAGGACTTCCATTCAGCCAGCTTCCAGGTGGTTTAGAATGATGGTTGTTCTGTATTTTAGTTGTAATTTTGGTGTGGTTGTGGAAGGCGGCAAGTACAGGCATTTACCTACACCACCAATTTGGTTTTTCCTCCAGAAGTACATGTTAACATGCAGAATAAACTTCTATTTTATTTTTATTCAGGAGGTTTCACAAAAGAATTATTTAATCCTAGTTAATGACAAGATTTGTATTTAAAGTTGGGGGAAGCTATACAGTGATATTGAATCCTATACCTACTTACCTAGAAGCATTTAAGTAGCTTGAAATTACTGCCACCTGCCAGCAGAAACCACTGGGAGAGAACTGACATCTAGTCAATGAGGCCATAAAACAGGGGCCCTCCTTGGTTGCTCTCCTCAAGCAGGACTCGGGGGCCCAACCCAGGCTGTGCTCTGCTTGACCTCAGGCCTTAGAAACAAGAAGTGATTTCATGGGTAGGTTGTTAGGGGCCAAGCCTGGCAGCGGTGCTCATGGGATCCTCATTTTTCTCCACCCCCATGGGAAGAGTGCTTTTCAGGTGCCAACTTAGGAGACTCTAGGTTTTCTTTTCACTAGGGAGGGTGGCATTCTCTTTTGTGGGCAAACTCTTGTTTTCCTACAGTTTCTTCAGCTTGGCTGAAGCTCAGGAAAATAAACAGCAAGAGCAGGTGAATCACACAATGAAGTCTACATCATTGGGGTGTTAACGAAGGCCATTCAATCTGTCCTTTGGGATCTAAATATTGAAGTAGGGCTTTGATGATCCTGTCAAATTGTTCCTAAAGTAGACTAATCCCGACTAACAATGCAATAAACGGCACGATTGAAACATTGGGAAAACTACTCAAGCTTTCCAATTGGTGTTTACATTAGTTTATTCCCATCCTTAATGACATGAAAAGAAATAGCTTCACAGATGCTCGGTGCATCAGGGCACAAAGTCTGGAGGAAAAGCAGGTGGTTTATGTAGATCTGACAGCATTTGAATATTAAACAAATAAACCACAATTAGGTGGACGTGGCGTGCCTAACTGTGGGAAGTAGATATTTCAGGGGTTTGTCCTCTACACTCTTCAGTTCATTCAATGGCGGCACATGCTGCAGGGTAAGAGCCATGAAGCTGGGCAGCAAAGCATTCATGTGGCGGCACAGGCCCCTGGTCCCCAAGGTGGAGGTGGCTCAGCCTGTGCCTGAGAAAGGAAGGAAGACCCAGTTGGCTGTGCAGAGTGTGGGACAGGGTTGTTGCCCAACTGAAAACCAGGAAGAGCTACAATAATCTCCATTAGAACTATCGTGAGCTGCATGGAAGAAAGAATGGGGTGATGGGTACGGTAGTAAGGAGAGGAGGAGGAAGAAGGGAAGGTTAAGTGAGAGCTTGGAGAGGCAGAAGGAAGAGAGATTGGAGTGACTGGGAACTTTACAAATAAACAATGTCTACAGTGTGGTAGGAAGTCTTAGTGCATTTATGGCAGTGCAATTGCTCCCTCCCCCGTAGCCGCATACAAAAATAAAATGAAAACTTCAACTCAATACCTATTTTACTCTTCAGTGCTTCTCGGAGCTAGATTTATGTTTTGTTTCTCTGCATTCTGATGCTGGGCTGAAAAGGGTTTTGAATTGGAAGCAAGAAAGCCTTGTGTTATTTAGATGGAATTATTAAAATTGAAAGTGAGCCCAGTATAGTTTTTTGTTTTTGTTTTTTATTTTTGTTTGTTTTTTTCTTTTTCCAGTATATTTGGTGTTTGAAGTCATTGACATCAGCACTTATTAATTGTGGTCAGAGGCTTTACAAGCTTTTGGGTTGCCAGGTTCTTGTTCCTTGTTTTATGAAAGTTGCCTCATGGGCACCATCTTCTAGAGGAAAGTCAGATCCTACTCAGGGGATTAAGTTGTTAAGTGAGCGCATAAAGCAAAAGTTGCGTGTAGTCAACATTTCCATTTCCTCAAATACAGGACTCAGTCATACACTCAGCAGGGGTTTCTCAGCAGTGAGCACACCGCTCCCCAGCAGTTATTTAAGCAGCACAGGAACAGGCCAACATCAAGACTCGACCACACGCTCAGGCCAATGTCAAGTCTCGCCCCATGTGCATTATGTTACAGTGAGGAGGCAGAGAATAATTCCACCAGCGAGTACATAAAATCACATCAAATTATGTGCAGTGGAGACAGAGAGGGGAAGAGGAGAGGCAGAGAATGGATGGCATGATCACAGATATGTGCAAACAGGGCATCTGCCAGCAGTGGGGCATCTGAATCCTGAACTGCAGCAAAAGATGTCAGAGTGGTGTGGAAGGTTTCTTAAGAATTGCTGTCATGAAATAGGTAATACACTAGAGGCCCGATGCATGAAGTTTGTGCAAGAGTAGGCCTTCCTTCCCCCAACTGCTAGCACCAGCTTCCCTCTGGCACCTGGGGCCCAGACTTCCCTCACAGCCCCAGCTTCATCCAGAAGGACATCTGTTCTAGTTAGCATATTATGCTTTTAATATTATAGACTAGAGGCCTGGTACAAAAAATCCCTCAGGCCAGTCCTTGAGGGATGTCTGACTGTCCTCTCACAATTTAGGACTGCTGGCTCCAAACTGCAAGCCTGCCTGCCTTCCTGATTGCCTTTAACCACTTCTGCCTGCCAGCCTGATCACCTCTTATCCACTCCCCAGCCAGCCTGATTGCCCCTAATTTCCCTTCCCTGGAGGCCTGGTCACTCCTAACTGCCCTCCCCTGGAGGCCTGGTCACTCCTAACTTTCCTCCCCTGCAGGCTTGGTGCCCCCAACTGCTCTCTCCTGCAGGCCTTGGTCCTCCCTAACTGCCCTTGCCTACAGGCCCAGTCACCCCCAACTTCCCTCCTCTACCAGCCTGGTCACTCATAACTGCCCTCCCCTGCAGCCTTGATCACCTCCAACTGCCCTTCCTTGCAGGCCTAGTGCCTCCCAACTGCCCTCTCCTGCTGGCCTGATCGCTCACAACTGCCCTCCCTTGCAGACCTGGTCCCTCCCAACTGCCCTCCCCTGCTGGCCATCTTGTGGTGGCCATCTTGTGTCCACATGGAGGCAGCCATTTTGTGTGTTAGAGTGATAGTCAATTTGCATTACTCTTTTATTAGATGGGATAGAGGCCTGGTGCATGGGTGGGGGCTAGCTGGTTTGCCCTGAAGGGTGTCCCAGATCAGAGTGGGGGTTCCCTTGGGGCATGGGGTGGCCTGGGCGAGGGGTCTGTGGTGGTTTGCAGGCCAGCCACGGCCCCTGGTGACCCAATTGGAGGCCCTGGTATCTGGGATTTATTTATCTTCTACAATTAAAACTCTGTAGCCTTAAGCAGAGGCCTGGGCCAGCCAGGATGTGCAGAAAGCTTGGCTTCCTCCATCACCAGAATCAACTCTAGCTTCCTGCTTTCTCCAGGTCCATGGCTACCTCCATTTCTGTTGGAATTTATTTATCTTCTATAATTGAAACTTTGTAGCCTGGAGTGGAGGCCTTGGCTGGCCAGGGCAGGAGGAAAGCTTGACTTCCTCAATTGCCGGGGAAACCGAAACCTCCCTCCTGCTTGCTCAGTGACTGCAGCCATCTTGGTTGGGGTTAATTTGCATACTCATTCCTGATTGGGTGGTGGGTGTGGGTGGTGGGTGTAGCAGAGTGATGGTTAATTTGCACATTATTTTTTTGAAATATATTTTATTGATTTTTTACAGAGAGGAAGGAAGATAAAGAGGTAGAAACATCGATGAGAGTCATCGGTCAGCTGCCTCTTGCACACCCCCTACTGGGGATATGCCCGCAACCAACGTACATGCCCTTGACCAGAATCAAACCCGGGACCTTTCAGTCCCCAAGCTGACGTTCTATCCATTGAGCCAAACTGGTTTCGGCAATTTGCACATTATTTTATTAGATAGGATGACAGAGAACTGGAAGTCTAAAATCTAAGTTGATGCAGAAAAACTCATGATTAAAGACTTTTCCCTAAATTTGAAGGGGAAACCCTAAGATGATTTAGAGCACATTCTGTGGAGGAACTTTAGTCCAGTGGGGCCAACTAGTGGACTGTGAAGTCCAAAGGGTTGGCAACCATTGCTTTAATGTGTAGGGGAGAAAAATCCAACCAGGCCCCACATTTGTTTAAAGCGCCTTTGCTACTCATGGCTTGCCTACAATAGATGATCTAGAAGATAGTGCCTTCCCTGCCAGTCCGTCCCCCCAGAAGCATCTCTTAAGAAGAGGCTCCGGATCTTTACCCATCCAGAAAAATCCTCCTCTAGCCTAGAAGTTGCCCATTATGCAGAAAAGGGATTGTTACTTTGTAGGAAGTCCACAAATATATGTACATAAAAGTATCTAGCCCTTAAAATATTATTTAAATTGTTTGCTTCCTTTCTTTGAATCAAGTCTTTTAGGGCCTCCTCATAGATCAGAATAGAAAGCATCTAGTATTAGGTGTAAATCTGTTTATACAACCATTAGTATTTTTTAATGATCCACAACATAATTCAATAAACCATTAGTATTTAAGTAAATATAATGATTATACTATTAGATGTTCTTTAAGTTTCTGACAGCCTCTAAATTCTAAGAGATTAATAAACATTAAACATTGGGTTTAGCTGGTTCTCTCCTGACATCTAGTGTTCCTGACTCATTACTGCAAGACTTAATTTTAAACCACTATTGGAATGAAAAAAACTTAATGGAATAAAAACTTAATTCCTTTTAGAAAAGTAAGTGAAATAAAATTACAAGCTAGTAACAACAACAAAATATTCTGTTTCTAAGGAGCAAAAGACCCTTTTTGCACAATTCTTTTCATATAAATGGTATCTTTTCTTGCTCTTCTGATAGGTAACAGCATGTATGTTGGGCTGTTTCATTATTGTGGAGGAGGGAGAGGAAATGAGGGGAGGCCACTTACTAATGGCCTACTTTGGGCCATGTTCTGCACCTGAATGTTTTAGTGGGACTTATCCCTGTGCTTTTAGAAGCTGTAGGACCATCCTAACCCCATCCCAACCATGAAAACTCAGCCTGACAAGGCATTGAGAATGTCCTGATCTGCAGTGGGGAAATGGAGAGCCAATATCCCTTCATAGAACATCTTCTGCCAGACAAGTTACATACACATGTGGGCACTCAGAAATATTCTCTTCTTGCCGAAACCTGTTTGGCTCAGTAGATAAGAGCGTTGGCCTGCGGACTGAAAGGTCCCAGGTTTGATTCTGGTCATGTACCTTGGTTGCGGGCACATCCCCAGTAGGAGGTGTGCAAGAGGCAACTGATGGATGATTCTCTCTCATCAATGTTTCTAACTCTCTATCCCTCTCTCTTCCTCTCTGTAAAAAATCAATTTTATATATATATATATATATATATATATATATATATATATATATATATATATTTTTTTTTTTTTTTTAAGAAATACCTTAATAGAAATGAGTGACAGGCTCTGCCCTCAAGTCCCATCCAGACAGGGGATGTCTAACCCTCTGTTCCTTGTTTAGCTTGGCATAAGACTGCTCCAAGGCAGGCTGACCTTGTTACATCAACGGGGGCAAGAGAGGGCATGGACTAGAAGTGCTTGCTGGTGAACCCTGGAAGGAGGTGGATGGCCAGCCCTGGGGACTGCCTACACATGATGTGGAGCCTGTGGAAGGACTGAATACTTGGGTGCCAGTGGCTGGAGCTGGAGGCATGGGAGCTAAAAGATGGGTGTTGCCACATCACTGCCTTTGGGTGCTGTAAACAGGGAGTGACACTACAGTTGGGAGTTAAGAGCCAGCACATGGGCCCACATATGTGGCTCAAGCTCAGGGTCAGTGGTAGATCTCCAGTAGACCTTATTCCTGAACTTCCCACTTGCCCTCAGACCTCTGCATAGCCTTCCTGCAGGTGGTGGTGTGCGGAAAACAGGAGTGTTGGCAACTTTGAAAGAGATCCCAGTGTAAAGTCTTCAAAAATATACATGGTTGGGAAAATGGGGGGGGGGGGGGGGGGGCGGGGAAGGAACTTAACAAATAAAAAACAAATGATGGGTCCCGTTTTCTTACATCTGTGGCCATCACCAATGGCACAGTGAGAACTTTGGGGGCAATTATAATAGAAGCCAGTATTCTGGGGCAGAAGGGTGATACAGCATCATGAGTGATGACATAGGATTATATGTTATTAGGGAACTTCAGAGACAAGCAGATCTACAATATTTCAAAAGAGGTTGGAAAGAGCCCTGGCAATATGAGTAATAACAGTGTTGCCACCTTTTTCTGGTGTGGAGACACGAAATTAGCCAGAAAGGGCACATTAGACAATAAGACTAAATAGAAATCTTCATGCTTATGGACAGAAACTAGCTGTACCACACTTTTATCAATGTCCTTTTTAGCTGAATGTGTTAATCCCTTTCAATTTCTATGTTCTGCTATCCTTAATGCCCAAAGCTTAGAGTTTATCTTGGTATCTTCAGAGTATTTTTACCTTTTATACAAAAAAATCATTCATAACCTCCACCAGCCTCCTGCCCCATCACTCCTTCTGTTTTGCACCTTTCCATGTCTCTAGCAGCAGCTGTGGAGGACCAAGGAGAACAGGTGCATAAACGCTGTCAGAAACAGCTCTAAAAATCCCCTCTTCCAGCTGCTTGGCTGTCCTCAAGGAATTGCTCAATTTCAGAGTTTGTGAGAATATATGAGACAGTGAATGGTGGGAGAGGAAGCACAGGATGACAAATAGATTAAAACAAGAGGCTCAGTGCATGAAATTTATGCATGGGAGGCAGGAGGTGTCCCTCAGCCCAACCTGAACCCTCTGCAATCTGGGACCCCTTGGGGGATGTCAGACTGCTGGCTCCCAATCACTTGCCTGCCTGCCAGCCTGATCACCCCTAACTACTCCCCTGCCAGCCTGATTGATTCCTAATTGCTCCCCTGCCAACCTGGTTGCCCCTAAGTGCTCTCCCCAGCCAGCCTGATTGCTTCTAACAGCCTCTGCTTCAGCCCCCATCACCATGGCTTGGTCCAGAAGAATTTCCGGATGGATGTCTGGTCTAATTAGCATATTACCCTTTTATTACGATAGTATAGATAACATATGTGCCCCTAAAAAGTTATATTATGTCCTACCTAACCTGTTTGGCTCATTGGATAGAACATCAGCCTGCAGACTGAAGGGTCCCAGGTTGGATTCTGTTCAAGGGCATGTACCTTGTTTGCAGGCATATCCCCAGTAGGGGATGTGCAGGAGACAGCTGATCAATGTTTCTCCCTCATCAATGTTTCTAACTCTCTCTCCCTTCCTCTCTGTAAAAATCAATAAAATATATTTTTAAAGTTAATATTTCACACACTGTAAATAATACAGTACATATTCAACCTCTTTCACCCTGGCATATATATATATATATATATATATATATATATATATATATATATATATATATGTATGTATATGTATATGTATATGTATATATATGTGTATGTATGTATATGTATATATATATATATATATATTATTGCTCTATCCACTGAGCCAAACTGGTTAGGGCTCCCCCACTTTTTTTTTTTTTCTCTTTAGATTATCCACATTTGTAGATATGGCATTAATTCATTTTTCCATTGATTTTTAGAGAGAGAGTGGAAGGGAGAGGGATATAGAGAGAGAAATACCAATGTAAGAAACATCCCTTCAATTGTCTTCCTTAGGAGCCCTGACCAGGGATCCAACTTGAAACCCAGGTATATGCCAGGTATGTTCCCTGACCTGGAATCAAACCTGAAACTTTCCATGCACAGGACCATGCTTATGCTCAACCAACTTATCCACTTCAGCTGTTATACAATTTCTGGAATTTTATTTCAATTAACTAGAGGCCCAGTGCACAAAATTCATGCACGAAGGGGGGTTTGTCTCTCAGCCCAGCCCGCACCCTCTCCAATCTGGGACATCCCTCTCACAATCCAGGACTGCAGGCTCCCAACTGCTCACCTGCCTGCCTTCCTGGTTGCCCCTAACCACTCTTCTGCCAGCCTGATTGATGCCTAATTGCTCCCCTGCCATCCTGTTTGCCCCTAACTGCCCTCCCTTGCAAGTCTGGTCCCTCTCAACTGCCCTCCCCTTCTGACCATCTGTGGTGGCCATCTTGGGTCCACATGGGGAGAGGATCTTTGACCAAATGGGGGTAGCCATCTTGTGTGGTGGAGTGATGGTCACTCTGCATATTACTCTTTTATTAGATAGAAGCCTAGTACATGGGTGGTGGCCAGCTGGTTTGCCCTGAAGGGTGTCCCAGATCAGGGTGGTTTCCTTAGGGCAGTGTTTCCCAAACTCTCTCAAGATGAGAATCACCTGGTGGAGTTGTTAAAATACAGATTCCTGAATCCCAACTAAGAAGTGCTAAACTAGAATTTTTGGGAACATATACGTAAAATTGTATACTTAACTAGTGCTCTGTCTTAGAGCACTAGTTAAGTATACAATTTTAGGTATATGTTCCCAAAAATTCTATAAAATATATTTTTATAGGGTGTAGGGTAGCCTGTTCGAGGGGCCTGTGGTGGTTTGCAGGCTGGCCACACCCCCTGGCAACCCAAGCAGAGGCCCTGGTATCTGGGATTTATGTATCTTCTACAATTGAAACTTTGTAGCCTGGAGCAGAGCCAAGCCTCCTGCTTGCTCCATGGCTGCAGCCATTTCTGTTGGAAATTGTTTACCTTCTATAATTGAAACTTTGCAGCCTTGAGTGGAGGCTTAGGCCGGCTAGGGCAGGTGGAAAGCTTGGCTTCCTCTGTTGCCTGGGAAACCCAAGCCTCTCTCCTGCTCTCTGTGGCTATAGGGACCTTGGTTGGGTTTATTTGCATACTTGCTCTGATTGACTGGTGGGTGTGGCTGGTGGGTGTAGCTGAGATATGGTCAATTTGCATATTACTCTTTTATTATATAGGATTCTCGCAGTCTGTGGTTTAGGTAATATTCACATTTTGCTGATGAGAAAAATAAAAACCAACCTTTTCATTTTGAGACATTCTTCTTCCCTCATTGCTTTCCTGCTAGCCCTAGAAAGGCTCTTGACAGCAGTTTCACTGGTTATCCAGAGTCAGAAGCATTCTCCTCATCACTACCCTCTCCAAGCCTCCTCTGCACTGGTATTGAGGCTGTCCTGGAGGGCGCAGAGGCTAGGTAACAGAGATGACGACAGGATTTGGAACACGGGAGCCACCATATCAGTCTCTTCTCTCTCAGCCTTTCTCCAACATGCTGGAGAAGGCAGAGCCAGCAACTTCCGGATAGGCCAAGGTTTGTGACACGAGCTCCTTGGACACCAAAGTGCTGCAGTCTCTCCCAATCCTGAGCTGCTGTTGCCCCTGAGGTTGCAGAGCTCCTAGAAGTCCTCTTTGCGCCTCCTGTCCGCAGCAAACATGGCAGTGGACTCCGTCATGGAACTGCTATTTTTAGATACTTTTAAACACCCCAGCGCTGAGGTAAGACTTTGCTTCTTGATTCTGACTCTGCTTCTCCACTGTGGGACATGTCCAAAAAATCCTTAGGCATGCTTTGGCTTTTCAGCCTGCCGGCGTCCTTAAATTCTGCACATACACACCCCTGTCCCCCAGCTGGGTGTGGGCACCACGTCTGCGGGAGAGTATCAGTGGCTGGGACATTTCTCTGGGTTATCTTAGGCTCCTGTGTCTTTGGTTGAGTTGGCTGTTCTGCATGCTTTGCTCCCCTGTCCCCTTATCCCCGTCAGCTTTGGGCCTTGAACATATCTTGGGTCTCAGGTTTAGCTCAGGTGGTATTTTGGGAGGGTCTCAGACTGCCTGTGTTTGACGGCAGTTCCAGAGACGGAGCAGGTCACAATGGCTTCCTGATTCCTAAATCCCTCCTCCCAGGACCTTTTTCTAACAGGACTTAGATTGCCCAGATGTGACACCCATTTGGTTTAGGAGTCACCCCTGAGGACATGCCATATTTACACAGAATGGCTTTTGTCTGGAGGATACCTGTGAGGAGGGGAATCAGTGGTGAGAGGAGCCAATGGCAGATTTGGAACCCCCAGACAGGGAACCTCGCTCACTCCCGGCATGTCTCCCCACTGCACTACCTGCATATCTCCCTCAGCAGTGGGCCTCCCGCCCACTCTACCAGTTCCCTGGCTCTGGCCCACACTGCCATTTTTGTAGCTATGGGCGCCGCCATATTTGTCATGGAGTGATGGTTAATCTGCATATCACCCTTTTATTAGATAGGATGCATCCAAATAAATGTACAGCTTTCAAATTATTTTCCATGGGGGAAAAAGTTCATTCATAGTCACAAGTACTTATTGAGGGCCTGAATACTCCTGAGACTCAAAGGAGAGAGAGATCTCGCAGTGAACTGGAGGTAGAATTTAAAGAGTCTTCAGAAAGGATGGTTAGTCTGGGTAGGGGGTGCTGTTTATTTCCAGAATCAATCAGAAAAAAATAAATTATCTGTATTTTCAATAAATGAATTTTTTTCTAGTCTTGAGATAAAAGAAAGCTTTCACATGAAATACACTATGATTGTTTATCTGTCCCACTAATTATAAAATATGATATAGTCAAATATACCAAATAAAGATGCAGAGCCAGTAACTAGAGACGAAATCTCAGTGGCTTTCCATTACTGCCATGAGTATCAAGTTATTAAAAACAATTTCATCATAGAATTATTCAAACTTCTGTCAACATATGGAAAGCTTTCAATTAAATATATAAACTTGCTGAAATGAAGAAATATTTCCAGTATAGACAGGATGGAACTGATAAATCAGTGCTTTGTTCTCTTCAGCAACAGATTCAAAATGATGATCATTTTTCTGAGCTGCAAGAAAAAGAAAATGTGAATTTTTAAAAGGATAGGATATCATTTTCTAAAGGTTACTTTATAATATCTCATCCCATCATCAGTATTAAGTGGGAAAGTAGTAACCAATAGGAAACATATCTTATAGAACTTCCCCCAAATAAAGGGGTACCTGATGTACAGCAGATGCCTGCTGACACAGCTGTGCGTCTGCCCCACCCAGACCAAAGGGGGTACTCACGCCCCATTCATCACTAAGTGCCTACTGCGTATAGGATTTAATGCAGGGACCGGGATAGAAATATACCCAGGGCAAGGGTCTAACACACAAGAAGTCGAGTCTAGTAACTGTACTTAGTAATGTTTTTATAGTCTGTCTTCATCGAGAAGCTTCGAAAGAGGATGAAGAAACGGGCCAAGATGAGTCAGGTGGGGCCATGAGGCAGTTCCCACAGGCCAGGCAGAGCTGTGAGAGGCACGGAGAAGGGAGCAGGGGTCAAGTGTGAATGTAAGAAGGTAAAGGCTCAGACAGTTTCCTAAGATCAAGATAAAGTAACTACAGGCTGTTGTGGCATGTTTTAAAACAAGGGTATTAAGAAATAAAGAACAGATAATAGCCCTACACGGGACAACACTGCAGCCAACTGCTCCACCCTGTTCTCATTTACTCCGACACACAAGACATGAAAATGCTTCTCGGGACTAATACTACGCAAGAGAGACCTGTTTTGTGTGTGTGTGTGTGTGTGTGTGTGTGTGTGTGTATTTTTAACTTGGGATTTTTGTCATGAAATTGCCCTTTCCTCTGAGCATAATTCTTAACCAGAGGAAAGGGCAATTTCATAACAAAAATCCCAAGTTAAAAAAACACACACAAGTGTGGGCAGGAGGGTTGCCAAAAACTTAGGCCAAGCGTGGCGAGATGCCAACAAGGCTCTCTGAAGGGTTCAATGGCCACACCTCACCAGAGTGATGCCTGCCCCTTGCAAGTGGTGCTCTGTCTTATCCCAGAATCACTCAACTAAAACATAAGCATCTACAACCAAATTCTCAATTCTACCCACAAACACAGCATGAAAAAAAAAAAAAAAAACAAGCAAAGCTGAACTTTCTCCGATCACAGAAGGATGAGTATATATGCTCAGTTTATATAATTGCCTTGAAAATCAAACATCTAATTCTCAGAGAATGTCATAACTAAAGTGTTATTCCTAAAAAGAAGACTAGTAGGGGAGAATATTAAAGAAAAAGTATTCAAGAAAGAAAGGGGAAAAAATCCAACAGTCTCTACACCGTTGTTCGAGTATTCAGCACATTTTAGAGCACACAGTATTATTAATTGAAATCACTGGACTTGTTTTATTTGAAAGCCTAATACCTCAATTTCAGGGCTTTCACGGTGATTGTTTTAAACGTGTGTTGTGTTTTTGTTTTGTTTTGTTTTTAAAGCATTTACATAGAGCAAGAGTATATGAAAGTTCAGATGAGGGCATTTCCTTCAAAAGTACACTAATGGAGTGCTAAGATTATGTACCCATATATTACCTTCAGAAACCAAGAACTCTGCTAAATAAAATGCCGTCTTCACAGCATTGGGGGCGTGGGAAATGCCTTTCAATGGCACCCACTCGTAAGGAGATTTCTCCGGATGCCACTGGACGCCATACACCGGATACTTGTACCCTGCGTGAAACACACAAACGGGTAAGTAGTAAGCAGTGAGAGTATCTACCATGTTATTTACAACCAAGTTACATTTTATGTCCCATGTAAACGTACTTTAACTCACTAACTCAGATAAAGTAAAACTGTGCATGTTCTCAGACACACAATAATTTCAGTTCAAAGTCACAATTCAGTAATTCACTGATTTCCAACCTTTTACAATCTTAATATGATTCGCTTTACTAGCTCATCAGAGGAAAGGAAAATACAATAGCTGAGCCTCTGAGACAACTTTAAACAAACATTTTTGAGCTGCGATTTCCCAAACTTCCCAGTGAGTACGATGCGGGCCACCCTCGAGCCTGCTTGAATGCTCCAGGCTAGTTCACCGCCCCTGCTTCGGACTCCAGACGGGCGGGTCTCCCTGCAGCTCTGCAGGCAGGATGCATGGAGGATGTAGCCTCCAGGTCCTGCTCCATGGGGTCCTCTCCCTGTAGGGGGGTCCTGAGCTTTGCCTCAGGGTCTCCTTATTAACAGGGATGCTGATTTAAACACCCCACTTCAGCGTGTTTCTGTGGTGTGTGCAGCGGTCATCTGGAACAAGAGGCCCTTGGTTCAAAACCAGGCAGACATTGGGTGCTCTCTGCCTTCCAGATTCCAGATGTTCTCCCCCATCACCTCCTTCCAGGGGCCCCATCCAAATACTCCACACAGCCCTTGGGAGCTTTTGGCCTAAGGACCCTTATTTTCTCGCCATTTCATCAATGTATTTAGGAAGATATTTTGCTGTATGTCCGTTGCACCTTTAGTTCCTTGTCTGGAAGAGAACCTGTCGAAGTACTTAATCCACATTACTGCTGGGTGAAAAGGGCGAAGGGATTGGGCAAAAAAAGTAAAATACTCATAGACACAGACAGCGGTGTGGGGATGATCATAGGGAAGGGGGTGGGGGAGGAAAAAGAGAGTAAAAGGGGGGAAAATGATGATTGAGGAGACTTGACTTTGAGTGGTGAGCACACAATACAAGATACAGATGATGTATTATAGAATTATATACCTCAAACCTTTATAATTTTATTAACCAATGTTATCCCAATAAGTTCACTAATTTTTTTTTTTTCTTAAGAGGACACTGTCTCTATTTCTTCATCACTCTCTTTCCTTCCCTTCTTCACCCCATTACCACCTAGATGATCCAGGTAAACCACAACTGCTTCGGAACATGAACAAAATACAGTTCCTATCTCCAAAATTGCCCTCATTTCGATCTTGAGGCCCCAAAGTTATTGTGATTTTATTCATTAAAACACACACACACACTATAAAATCAAAACTAATAAACATAATATGTGAAAAGTGTACATGTAGAGAGACATACCTTCCATTGTTGAAATAAACTCAATCTTGCCATCAGTATTTGTAGATAGTACATTGAAAAACGCCTTTAATTTTTCATTCTTCGTAAAATTCTGGAGTATAAAAATAAAATAATTACTCCTATAATTAATCTAAGTACATTGATTTCATTATATAATTAATATGATACCATTGTGGAGAGGCTCCACTGGTGGAAATTTGCAGTCAGAGGCTCTGATTCTAAGGAGCGCAACAAGTCAGCAGGAAAATTCCGGAACATTCTGCTCTGCAGTATACCTGAAGCAAGGTAAGTACAGGGAAAGAATTTAAACACAGAAAAATAAAATCCACTGAAATTACTCATCTCCAGTCAAAGGAATGAGTTATCAAAATTTAAAATTTCTTAAGCCATCCTCATAATTTGAGTGCAAACATGATCATTCACATCTCTAGCCTGTGTAAATAATTTAAAAACGAATAAATGTCACGAGCACTTTTTACTTGATATTTGCTACTTCCTAATCCTGCCCAGCTAACATTTCTTAAAGGGTCAGAAAGAGAATTCTTACCTTGGCTGAAGTTCAGCGGCAATGTGACTGCTTTAGTATCTGTGTTCGTTAACAATAACTCTCCACTGACCAGATACGAAAGCTCTTCAAATCCCAGGCATGTGCCCCACACAGGAAAGTAGTCTCCATCATCAAAACTCTTTGAAAGAGAAAACAAAACTTATTCAACCTTTTCAAAACAAAAATCATACGTTTGGTTTGTCATTACAAGGCTGGCACGTGAGAGGTACATGGATTTCTGAAGCATTTCCCATGTTCCAAAAGGAAGCTGCCATTTAGTCTCCCAGCTCCCACATCATAGCTCCATTTTAATCACACAAACTATCCAGCCTCGGTGGTTTTGGGAAAGAAGCTGACATCTGCCAGTCAACTACCAAATAATACAAGCATCAGTGACTGTAACTATCAAAGACAATGCCAGATAAAATGCCTATTTTTACGTCTTCTATAAATCTTGTCGCTTTGGGTAATTGTCTGGTTTTGAACCCACTCTTTCCTCCATTATCTCAGGATTTATAGATACATTGACTAGGTGGGGACAAAGAGCAGCTTTCAAGTGGAGATGAAAATTAGTAGTATATGAATAACGCCCAGTGCATAATAAAAACAGCCTACTAAGTCACCAGGAGGACCCACAAACAGAGAGGGCCAGTCAGCAAGGCCCCATAGGGCCCCTGGCATCCAGGATTAAATGAAATGGAAAATGAGCAATAGCCCCCCTGGCTGCTCATAAGCAGGCACCTCAAGAGGGGAGGGGATGGTGAGGCCAGAGTAACTATGAAGGAAGTATTAAGTGCCAGAAAAGGATTTATCCCCACGGCAAATTACAAAAACCCATCAGGGCCCCAGTTGGTGTAGGTCCTCCCATGCCCCAAAAAGTCGCAGGCTGGATTCCCAGTCAGGGACATGCCTGGGTTGCAGGCTCGATCCCCAATAGGGGACATGCAGGAGGCAACTGATGGATGATTCTCATTATGTTTCTCCTTCCCCCTTCCTCTCTAAGAAAGATAAATAAAAACATGTATTTTTTTAAAACCCCATCTGGAATAAGAAGAAACAACTGGCACTTACCTGTGTGGCGAGGCTGTAAAATATCTTGGCCGTGCGGGCATAACCCGACTTCGTGAGGTTAACGCCTCCTCCGGGGAAGAGGATCCTGAAACGATATCCGAAAGGATGCATTTCCACCCGCCCCACAGACACCAAACCATCCTTTTATTTCAAAACTCCTCCTTCCTATTACATAAGCAACAAGGTCATTACAGAAAATCAGAAAACTAAGGCAAAAGAAGACATGAAATATTCACAATCCTACCCATTTGTAAATTATTGCAGTTAAAAATACTTTTGTGGCGAAGCCGGTTTGGCTCAGTGGATAGAGCGTCGGTCTGCGGACTGAAAGGTCCCAGGTTTAATTCCGGTCAGGGGCATGTAACTTGGTCGTGGGCACATCCCCAGTGGGGGTATACAAGAGGCAGCTGATTGATGTTTCTCTCTCATCGATGTTTCTATCTCTCTAATCCCTTTCTCTTCCTCACTGTAAAGAAAAAAAAATCAATAAAAAAGAAATTATCATAAAAAAATATATGTAAGCTAAAATTAAATATCCATGATAATCCAAAGCTATATTATCACCCTGAAATCTCTTCAGTAATAGTCATGGGATTAGAAGAGTTTTGAAAAATAACACAATCCCATTTCTAGAGGTCTAGGTGGGGGGAAGAAGCAAACATTTTATTTTATTCTACCCATAAAGGTGAGATATATTATAGAAAAAGTCTTAAAATAAGCCAGGGATAGACCAAAGAGATTATAAAAGTTAGGTTAAAGGTATTAACATTTTGAAAATACTTAAATATGAATTTGAGGTATGTGAAATGCTGCTGCTGAGATGGTTGTTCATTCAACAACTATACTCTGCTTCTTGCATGAGCCAGGCTCAGCATTAGCCTGGGCAGCTAGAGATGAGTAAGTTTTCTGTTAGGAAGATCACAGCCCAGTGAGAAACTATAAAGAATGAGGTGGAACACCTGCCACAAAACCATGCAGAAAATGCTACAATTCAAAGTGGATTAATGAAGACCCATTAGCAGTTCTCCCTTTTCATCAACTCAGTACTTAAAAAGCTGCCTCTGATCAAACCTGATATGTTTAAGCACAAAATCCTTTCATCAAGTAAAGCTTGACTGCCCCACCCAGTTGACAAACTCCTTTAAAACCGGTTTGGCTCAGTGATAGAGCATCGGACTGCGGACTGAAGGGTCCCAGGTTGGATTCCAGTCAAGGGCATGTAACTTGGTTGTGGGTACATCCCCAGTAGGGGGTGTGCAGGAAGCAGCTGATTGATGTTTCTCTCATCAATGTTTCTAATTCTCTATCCTCCCTTCCTCTCTGTAAAAAATCAACGAAATATATTTAAAAATAAAATAAAGCCAGGCTCTGCCTTTCCATCTCTGGGCACCCCCACAACGGGATGGGCCCTGCTGCATCACAGGGCGTGAAGGTGCTTCTGCAGGGCAGAGCAGTGCTCACTTCCCAGTGTGCATGTGGAGGTTCTAGCATAGAGTCCAGCCTGGGCTTGTTTGTCCTTGCCCGGGCCAGAGGACACTGAGTGTAACGGGCATTTTAAATGTTTCACTAAATTGAACTGACTTTATAGTAAATATTTACTGAACCAAACTGAACTGAAGTCAGTTGGATGAACAAGAATAAATCAATCTAGAGACAAATAGTAGGGGCGGGGGGGGGATGTTAGAGAGCAATCAAGGGACTTTTATGTATGCATATTAGCATAACCAATGGGCACAGACACTGGGGCAGTGGGGGCTTGCCCGGGGTGGGAATGGCAGGGGGTTGGGGAGCAATTGGGGAAAAAGGATACATATGTAAAACTTTAGACAATAAAATAAAAACAAGAAAAGCAGATCTTTAAAAACACACACACAAAAGAACTGAAGTCTGAAGGCAAGTTTTAAACACAGTCTTTTTAAAAAAAATTATAATAAATGATTACAGCTTTTAAAAGTTTTGTTGTTTTCTTTAAAAAAAAAAAAAAAAAAAAAAAAAAAGCTCTTTTTATAAAAACTTTACAGTAACAGACTCTCTCCATCCCACTCCCAATCAGGAACAACCACCGATAAAATCTGCATTGGCTAAAACCGGTTTGGCTCAGTGGATAGAGTGTTGGCTTGCGGACTCAAGGGTCCCGGGTTCGATTCCGGTCAAGGGCATGTATCTTGGTTGCGGGTACATCCCCAGTAAAGGGTGTGCAGGAGGCAGCTGATCGATGTTTCTCTCTCATCGATGTTTCTGGCTCTCTATCCCTCTCTCTTCCTCACTGTAAAAAAAATAATAAAATATATTTAAAAAAATAAATAAATAAAATCTGCTGCATTGACCTGAAAGATTTATGTTACACTTGTCGCCCTCACACCTACCTTAAGAATCAAAGAATGGGAGCATAATCCACACACCATAATGTGCCTTGCTTTTTTCGTATAATATCACACCGTTCAAGGAACATCAGTGTCCAAAGCAGCACCGAGAGCTATCCCGATTTTTTACCTCATACATTCTATCATGTAGACAGCCTCCTTTACTTACCCAGTTCTCAGCTGATGGACGAATGGGTGGCTATGAAACTGAGTGTATTTCAAACAATATTATAGTGCATATGATGGGCCCAACTCTACCCATGTGGGGGGGTATATACCTGTAAAATAATATTCCTCACAAAGGATTTCCTGGCTTAAAGGGTATGTGCATTCTTTACTGCAATTGGTATTTCAAAACTGGCCCCCAAAAGACTATGTAACTTACACAGCCATAAGTAAAGTAGGAGAATACTTTTTTCTTCACATCTTCACCAAACAATATTAACAAATTTTCTGATCTTTAAATTGATAGTTTTTAAAAACCTTTTTTAATTGCTATAATTAGATTTCCTTTAATTATGCATAGTGTTGAACATTTTTTCATATTAAAAGATTTTTTTCTGTGAGGTAACCAATCATAACTTTTCTGGTGATGCCACAGTATAGACAATTTTTTCTAAGTTCTATTCAAATCACCTTCTGAAAGAGAACTGAGCAGTATCCTTAGGCTTAAGATTTATAAATCCCCTAAGCAAGCGGTACACCATGCCATTCAAAGTGGCTTCAAAATACTTAAGACAGGCATTAAAAGAACAAAGACTATGTCACACATTTTAAAAAATGATGTATGTCTACTGTGTAACATTAACATCTTAAGCTTCCTTTTCTGCAGGACAACTGCATCTCTCTCTAACAATGTAATTCCGATGAAAGTCAGAAATCTAACGGTACACCACTGCAAGACAGTTACACAGAAACACGTGGAATACTTCTGTGTACTTTTTTGCAAGAGCAGACTGCATAGACCTCACACACCGTATCAAGCCAGTGCCCAACTTACCCATTAATGGATCGGAAAAGCTTTACATACTCTTCATCTGTGAGATCAAGCCTGAAAACAAGAAAAACAGTGACAAAACATCCATTTCCCAAACCTAAGAAAACAGGCAGGCTTTAAATGAAGTCACCACATTATTGTTAAAAGCCATATGAAAATAATTCTTGCCCTCAGTGGATAGAGCGCTGGCCTGCGAACTCAAGAGTTCCAGGTTCAATTCTGGTCAAGGGCATGTACCTTGGTTGTGGGCACTTCCCTAGTAGGGGTTGTGCAAGAAGCAGCTGATTGATGTTTCTCTCCCATCAATGTTTCTAATTCTCTATCCCTCTCCCTTCCTTTCTGTAAAAAATCAATAAAATATATTTTTTAAAAAGAGAAAAACAATTCTTAAATGTTAGGTAATATCACCTCTCTACGTTCCTAGAGGCATCTTTTCGAACTACATGAAAGCCACACAATTATATACTTGTTTTGCTAATCAGACAAGTAAACATGCTTTCCTGTGGCCCGATATTATTTAATACTGTGTAGTATGTGTTCATGTGCAAAATATTAAAGACCATGAGATTTGGGGATACCAAGAACAAATTGATGGTTATCAGATGAGAAGGGGGTTATAGGACTAGGTATAATATTGTATATGTCAACAGTCATTGAAAAATGAAAAAATTATTTAAAAAAAAAAAAAAAAAACAACAACACGAGATTTAAGCTCTGGTAATTTCTCCACTAGCCAATCAGTAATTTTATGTAAGGTCAAAACGGATATGTATCATCACGCCTATCTTAACTCCAGGTGGCTCTGGCAGATGAAAACAATCCATAGAAAAGCCTCCACCATACTTCACTCTCCCCACCACCAACTGCAAACTACTGTGTATTCAAAAGTCAGAAGAGTTGAGATCTAGGGAGGGATTATATGCAAATCACTGTAGACTGGCCTAATCTGCCCGTGAATTATTCTGAGGCACCTTCGTCAAACACCCTGTGAACTCTTCCACTGTTCATATCTTCCTCTATCTCTTTTTTCAATGTCCTGCAGTTTTCCAAGTATAGGTCTTTTACTTCCTTGGTTAAGTTTATTAGTAAATATCTTTATTTTCTTGTTGCAATGGTAAATGAGATATTTTTTTTTCTTTTTAGTTTCTCTTTTTGAGAGTTCATTATTGGTATACAAAAATGCCATAGATTTCTGGATGTTAATTTTGTTGCCAATTCATTTAAATAAATCTAGTAGTGTTTTGATGAAGTCTTTAGGGTTCTCTGTGTACAATATCATGTCATCTGCAAATAAAGACAGTTTTACTTCCTCCTTTCCAATTTGGATGCCTTTTATTTCTTTTTCTTGTCTGATCACTACGGCTAGCACTATGTTGAACAGGAGTGATGAAAATAGACATCCCTGTTTTGTTCTTGTTCTTTGAAGAAATAGTTTTAGTTTTTGCTCATTGAGTATGATGTTGGCTGTAGGTTTGTCTTATAAGGGTCTTATTATGTTGAGGTATGATCCCTCTATTCCCACTTTGCTGATAGTTTTTATCAAAAAAGGGTGTTAGATTTTGTCAAATGTTTTTTCTGCTTCAATTGATATGATCATGTGACTTTTGTCTTGCAATCTGTCATTTTGCTATATCACATTTATTGATTTGCAGATATTGTACCAACCTTGCATCCCCGGAATAAATCCCACTTTATGGTCATGATGTATGATCTTTTTAATATATTACTGGATCCAATTTTCTAATATTTTGTTGAGGATTTTAGCATCTATGTTCATCAGGGATACTGGCCTGTAGTTCTCTTTCTTTTTAATGTCTTTATCTGGTTGGGGGGTTAGGCTAATGCTGGCTTCATAGAAAGCCCTTGGAAGTATTCCTTTCTCTTGAATTTTTTGGAATAGTTTGAGAATAGGTGTTAGTTCTTCTTGGGATGTTTGGTAAAACTCCACTGTGAAGCTGTTAGGACCAGAGCTTTTGTTTGCTGGAAGTTTTTTATTACTGTTTCAATTTCATCAGTAGTTATTGACCTTTCAGGTTTTCTGATTCTTCCTGATTGAGTTTTGAAAGATTGTGTTTTTCTAGGAATATGTCCATTTCATCCAGGGCCCCTAATAATCACTAAGTTACTGATGATTTTATCCCCTTCTCCAGAGAAGACGGATGGAATTACTCTGTGACAACTGGCTGCAACCTTTAAGTCACAGAGAGATCAACTGGCTGCAACCTTTAAGTCACAGAGAGATGGGTTTGTTCTCCCAGAAGTTCAACAAAACGGAAGAACAAGGAAAGAGAGCATCCTACTTGTGAAATCTGGCCATTTAGCAGTCTCATGGTTCTGTAAGAGAATAACAAGGCACAATGCCCTCTCAACCTGCCACAAAAGAAGTAGGTTGAGATCAAATATCAACTACAGCCCATTCTGCCTCAGTGAAATGTTTGTTTGTTTGTTTGTTTGTCTGTCTGTTTTGGGAGGGAGGGAGTTGGAACACTAATATTACCTCGGATGCCCTGAACTTAGCTGTGGTAGGCCAGCAAGCCCCTCTGGGCTCTGCTCTAACTCCAAATGAGCTGTGCAAGCTCAGGTCTGTTCGGAAAGCTATAATAATCCTTCTGGCAAAGAGCCACGAAGACTGGGTGACATTGCAATGCCGCTTACCATTCTCTTACATGGAGGGTAAATGGGCAGGTGGCCCTGACTTAGGAAGCGACAGGGAGACGAAATGTGAGTTTACCCACTCCCAATATTCTTTCAGTTCAATCTTCCCAAATTGTGCCAACAATAAGGGAACCGTTCATGACCCAGAATCTCCCCCACGGATATTTAAATCAGGATGGGGAGCCATCACTATCAGGAAACAGAATGGATTTAGACCCCTCAGCTCTACCCAGGGACCTCTAACAGCTAGCCATGTAGGCTAGTCTCGGTCATTTCATTCATTCTAAACAAATGGCTTCCACATTGTCCATGACTGAAGTGTGGACCCCTGCTTATCACTATTGAGAGGTGTAACTGTTGAATGTTTGGGGAGAGGGAGGCTGTCACAGACTCCAGTGCCCCATTGACCTGCCAGGGAAAAGCTTTGAATGCGATGGTAGTTGCATGTTGTCAGACTTTTTTGAAGCAAAAGAACTTCTCAAAGGAAGAGAAATAGTTCCCTCTCTCTTTAACTAAACAAACACTGTGTGAGCCAAATAATGATGACAAATGACACAGCATAACAAGGAGAGAAGGGCATTGCTGCCAGTGGAGAGCTCTTGCTCCACTGCAAATCAGCTCCAGAAAACTTTGTTAAAAAAGAGGCCAAAAGTCAAGATTTTATTAAATGCTAATGTTTAAAACGCTTTATAATGCTGTGTGAACAAAGCACATTTTTTAAACCAAAAGCAGCCTCTCAGGAAGAGGCATCTCTGTGGGTCCCACTAGTCCCCCAGCGGGGAACGGGGGGAACCTGAGAGTGCCAGGCACCTGAGGCAGAAGGTAGCAGAGAGAAGACAAAAGAAGACCAAAGGTCTTTACCTACTCCATTCTGCCTATGTCTCCCATCCTCCTCCTTTCCCTCCTAACCTGCAGAAATGAGCCCGACATTATTGGTGAGATTCTCTGTCTCGTTCCACATTAGGTAACCCAGTGCAGGTCCTCTGGGAACCTAGCTGCCATGTGTTGTGTGGTTTTTATAGGATCTTATGATGCTAATCCCAAGCAATTTACTTAAAAAGAACTCTGGGAACCCAAGCTGGAAATCAACCTTTATGCTGACAGTCACGTTTTTAGGTATTTCAAAAGTCATACATGCCAGTACTTGGTGAATCATGGGTTTCAACACTTCCCCCATTTCAAAACGTCTGTCTTTTCTCATCTCTTCCTCCCTCACATTAGTCATCAAGTCGTGTTTATTTTTCTTAAAAATAATATTTACCTATCAAGGCCACAACCACTGTTCTAAGCCAAACCCTCCCCACTTCACAGCCTACTGCAAGTCTCTGAACTGGTACACCTGCCTCTGTCCCTCCTACTTCCCACCCAGGCTCTCAGCTCTAATGTCCTAGAACAGTGGTCAGCAAACCACGGCTCATGAGCCACATGCAACTCTTTGGCCTGTTGAGTGTGGCTCTTCCACAAAATATCACATGTGGGCGCGCACGTACAGTGCGATTGAAACTTCATGGCACATGCGCAGAAGTCGGTTTTCGGCCTGGGCGAGTCTATTGTGAAGAAGTGGTGTTAGAACACTCAAGGGGCAAAAGAGCCACATGTGGCTCTCGAGCCGAGGTTTGCCGACCACTGGGCTAGAAGAATGGCTTGCAGAAAATGCTTCCGTGATCAAAACTTTGAAAGGCTGTTCTGAAGATTCCCTGGAGCCTCTTCTGCAGCTTTAAAACTCTGGTGCTCTCTGGTCTCCAAGTAAGATTTCACTTGAAAAATTAGATCTGCTACTGAGGATTTAAAGACTAACATCAAAAGCAAATGTTCCTCTTGGGGTAGAGACAGCTAAATGTAAAATAACGAGTAAGAAGACATTCTTGCCCTAGCTGGTTTGGCTCAGTGGATAGAGCGTCAGCCTGCAGACTGAAGGATCCCGGGTTCGATTCTGGCCAATAACACACGCCTGGGTTGGGGGCTCAATCCCCAAAAGGGAGCATGCAGGAGGCAGCCAATCAATGATTCTCTCTCATCATTGATGTTTTTCTCTCTCCCTTTCCCTTCCTCTCTGAAATCTATAAAGAAATACAGTGTATATTTTTTAAAAAGACAATCCTTATGAAGCTAAACATAGAAGCATTTTGTGATACAATTTTCTAAATTGTAATATTTGCATTTTGATTATTAATATTCCATTTGAACAGTATTTTTGGTTATAAATTTTTTTGTTTGTCTGTTTGTGGGGGTTTGTTTGTTTTGTTGTTGTCAATCTTCACTCACCAGGTATTTTTTCGATTGATGTTTTTAGAGAGAGGGGAAAGGAGGGAGATGTGAGGGGAGAGAGAGAGAAACAGTGATTGAGAGAGAAACATACGAGCCAGGGCCGGGGATGGAACCTGCAACCTAAGTACATGCTCGTGACTGGGAATTGAGCCTATGTCCCTTTGGTGTGCAGGCCGAAGCTCTAACCATTTATCCATACTGGCCAGAGCATATTATAGTTGTTAAATGCAGAATTATTTACAAAAGCAGTTTGCACAGAGCATAAAGTGGTATTTTGTGCCTGAGATCACTTATAATGGATTAGAGGGTAGTGCTAGAAGCCTCCAAAATACACTAATTTTGGATAAAATATTGTGAACACATAAAGTTTTGTTTGTTAAAAAATTCAACTCTTTCCAAATCAATATATGGTATGAATCATTTTATTCTTACTAGGTCATTACATCACAAAACCAATGTCGCTCTTTTAAAACTGTAATACCTGCCGAAACCGGTTTGGCTCAGTGGTAGAGCGTCGGCCTGTGGACTGAAAGGTCCCGGGTTCGATTCCGGTTAAAGGCATGTACCTTGGTTGAGGGCGCATCCCCGGTGGGGGGTGTGCAAAAGGCAACTGGTCGATGTTTCTC